CATGACTGATGTAGGATTTGCCGCAGGTTATCTCTCCCAAATTTCGGATGACACGTCATTTACGTACGAAACTGCGAATATTATACTAATGTACAATAATAGACCAAAGGAACGTCGTAAACATTTATTAACACCGAGTAATGTCTAACGTTGAGGTGGTGAGGGTGCCTCGGACCAGCCTCGATTTCCGATAAAATGTACATACCTCTGACAACTATGCGAGAAACTTTTGTTAACATTCGTATTTTCCCGGTTACCACAACTTTTATACTTTTATAGGCACCAGTTATCGCGGAGCCCCTCCACCCATGGAATACGGACGTTAAGTATGATGTTTAAATAAGTTCTTAAACTTACGAAAAATAACTGACGTATAATATGTTTTTTATTTTATTTCTATTGTACACATACAATAATATTTATTATACGACTTAACAAAATATGAAAAGTACATTTTAATCATGATCAATGTGTTTGGGTATATTATAAATATTAAATATAATTTTCGTGTGCGTCACTTTGAATAATATAAAACTATTTTAATTACCTACTGTTTTCGTGTTATCAGCTGATGATAATGCGTTCTAAAACTAATCGCTATTGGGCATTGGCAACAAAATGTTCTCATACTAAATAATATTTTTATTTATTACCTATATATTATAATAGGCAGCATTTATTTAAGAAAAAATATGTTTCCATTATAGCTTTATACATTCAAATGCTTGAGTACATATTAAAAATATAAAATTAATTTATAATTTCATAAATGTACAAAGAAATCATTTGTCGTTGTAAATAAATTTTGAATATTAACTTTAATAAAATATGTACCTATTTACTGTTATACTAATATACTATAATTCGAAACATTATTAATTATTTATTATTATTATTATTATTATTATTATTAGTTACTACTAAATTTGTAAGTACTTAAATTAATTTAATATTAATTACCCAATTACCATAAACATAGATTTTAAATTTAAATTTAATCTGTTCTGACAATTCACCACAAAATATAAAACACAAATATTAGTAATAATGTAATACTTCATAGCCTCTGTTCAACATTCATGTCTCAAAATATTCATAAAATGTGTTCTTAGTTCTTATTAATTTAGTATGAAAATAAAACCAACTACCAAGTTCCTACTCTAGATTCCAACTACCATAGCCCTTAATGTACTATTTACCAAACATCTAATTTTTAAAAAATCATCTTCTGTTTTCTGTCTTCTATTTTTTTTCATTTTTAAAAATTTTTTTAAATGTTTGTATTTATATTTTAAACTACATATTTAAAGCAATAAATATAAATTTAAATGTTATAGACATTTGCAAGTTATTTTCTATGATGCTATCTAGTGGTTTTTTTAAGCTAGATTGCTTTGATAATATATTTGTGATATATTCCTTTATAAGTCTCTATATTTTACTTATGTCTTATTGTTTTAAATAACAGATTGTAAATATATTTTTATAAAAAAAAGTCTCTGTATTTAGATTCAAATTTAAATTAATGACCAAGTAGATTTCAATCACTATTCACTATATTTACTATGTATCCCTTAAAATTCGATTCTTCTTTTAAAAATACTTACATAATAATTTATCAAATTGCACGTATAACATAAAAAATAATCGAATTGAAAATGTCCATTAGTATACTTAAAAAAAAATTGGTATACCTAAGACTTAATTAAAAAAAAATATACAGAGACTCAAAGTAAAATTAAAAAGTATTATAGTACATACCTAACAATTGTTTATTCAAATTTTGTTTGATTATATTATTAATTGTAATTTTCTGTTTAACAAAACAACATTATTAGTTATTAATGTTATTAATTTTATTATAATGCAAAGTATTTCTAAAATCATTTTTTGGAGCTTTTTAATTTAAAAAATATTTTATTGTTAAACTACTTAAATGAGTATACCGGTAACATCAATATACGACTTTTGTAGTAGCCTCTATTAAATTAGAACGAAACTGTAAATATATTGATTTTACGATGATGTGTATTTTTTTTCGTGACTGTCATCGCATTTTTTGATTCCTGATAGAAAATTAGATCAAAAACTTTAGATTTAAAAATTAAAATTAAATTTTCTATTAACCTTGGGTTAACCGAGCCAGGAAAAAAAATTAAGGAAAACAGAAATTTAAATGTAGAAGCAATTTTTTATAAAATCAATTATTTTTGGCATACTCGATAATTAATAATAGTATAGATAGTCCGTATAGATATTTGAAATTTTCCCCGATTGTTTGATTGTTTTATGTTTATATCAGTATTTTATAAACATAATTTTTTTTAATATTTTGATCATTTTTAAAAGTATTTTTAAACATGATAAAGTTTTAATTTTTCAATTTTTTTTTTTAAATTTTGACGATAAAGGAATTTTTACTTAGTTAAAAACCTTGAAGAATCATGAAAGTTTTTACAAGTTGTTCATCGTAAATTTAAAAAAAATATCTCAATATTACAGTATCTTTTTATTAGCGTTTGATATAAAAATGTTGAAAAATATTATCTCAATCTTTAAAATTTGCAAATTATTTTGTAGTTAAGAATTCATACTAATTATTGTTGCTTTTTATATCTTAAATTATAAAATTTAATACAATATTCCCCATAGGTTTCACATATATAGTCACATGATTTATTTATGAACATTTCAAATTCAAATTTTCACATTTCATGATATTCACTCCTTAAAATAACTATTTCACATCGATCGATTTTTGATAGTTTCTTGTTATATAATAAGCAATAAATAATTATAAGTACTTAATAGTTAATTTCCATTAAATGTTTATGTTATCTCCCGTTATTTTCAATGACACTTTATTCAGTGGTGTACTAGGGTATACACGGGTATACGCCGTTTACTCGGATCCCTATTTTTGGATTTATGCATATACCTTAAAGAAAATTAATTTATTTATGGGAATACGTCAACTGAAAATGCATGCATTATGGATAATATATGTGCAAGCTTCTAGTTTATTATCAGTCATAATTAATATCACAGTATAAAATAAATAATAATATCGGTACAATTATTTTTTTATTACATACATTATTACACTGTCCAAAAATAGTTATTTATTATAAACGTTAAGATATTTCGAGCAAAGCGAGAAAATTATTTAAGGTATACCTATTTAACTACTTTTAAGTGCGTATACCTATAAATTTATTTACCAATACACCACTGACTATATTATATATAACTATATTTTCCTATTTTTTTTTTATAATATGTATGTAAATGATATTCTAAGGTAATAACAAGTCTGTAGGTATGACAATTGACAAGCAAGCAACAACTATTTTTAGTGAATCCCGACACAAAGTGTGTAATCTGAAATTTAAAATGTGCACTATGGAATTGAAAAGCGAGTACTAATAAAACATAACTTTTTTTTATCAGAGTTAAATAATAGAAAATAAGTTATATAAAAAATTGAAATCAGTAACATAGATATTATATTTTAAAAACTAGTTGAAGGTTTCGTCATTATCAGAAAATATTTAAAATTCCCTTGATATTAAATTAAATGTGTATATTCTTTCCAATTTTGATCTTCATCAAGCTATTACAAAATGATTCTCTGACAAAAAAAAAAAAAGGCATAATATGAAGGTATTTTTCAGGAAGCATGTCTAAGTAAGATCGCTTATGAAGAATTAAATATATCAATTAAATTTTAAATGATGTAGCTCACACATAAATAAAGTTTTTGTTAATAATGTTTTCAGATAATATATATTTTCTTAGTTTTGAAGATAAAAATAGATTAGTAGTTTTAAAATAATAATATGCATGCAATTTGATTGAAAAAAAAAAAAAGAATTATCTATTAAAATTGTTAATATTTTATTAAATATTATTTTAATGATATGAAAGTTGTGTCAAGGGGTTAGAGCCGTTAGAGGAGAACTTTGCTCCCCACGTAACTGTATAATATACGAATTTTTATAAAACATAGTTGCTGGACATGTCTATTCAATAGATTAAATTTTATCTATTCTATTTTGTGGTACTTATGACGTTTGAGACATTTTTAGTACAGTACAACAGAACAATGCCATGATGGCTGATAATGAGAAAACCTGTAGCGCGAAGAAATGTTTTAAATTATACAACAATTATAATGATTAATGTGAAGTTATATTATAAAGACTGTTAGTTAAATATTCGTTATCTATAGAACAAAATATTCATATAAATATACTTCTTAATAATATAAAATTACATTTTAGTTATTATCAAAAATAAGTGAAAATGATCAGGGTAAAATAATAAATTATCAACAATAAAAAAAATTATAATAACTAATATGTAACCTTCTAAGATGTCTAATTATTAATCATCATAGTTACAAAATTCCTAATATCTTAGCAAGTTTGTTGTATATTTTACAATAATTGATAAATAACAAATTATATTATATTTTTTTTAAAAACCTCAAAAATTGAGAGGGACAAAGAGTACTTTTATATTTCTATATGATTGTATAAAATAATGATTTTTGAAATTTTAAAGAATCTTTTGGTGATCATTGACTAGTTTTTAATTATTATCAATATCTAATCACCATAATCATTAATGAATATTTAATGATGACTAGTAGCCTGTAATAAAATTGTGGGTATACATTTTAAATAATTTCATTTAATCTTTAGTAGGTAAAAATTATGAAAAAATTACAAAAATAGTTAATCTTAAAACTTTAGTTTGTAGTTTAATAAATGTAATGAATGTATTATGTATTACATTAAATATCATATCATATTATCATCATAATATCACAAATTCACAAACTAAATTCACTTTGTTGTATCTCTAATCTTCATGGTTGTATCATAATATTATTGATTTGTGATTATATTTTTTTATCAATTATGTATAAATCCAAATAATAATATTATACATATGTAATAGTAAATTAATATAATAATTATTTTTAATATAAGATAATTATAATCCTTATCAATTTTTTTCATTTACGTGTTCAGCTATTATTTTATATTATTACCACGGACCACGATTAAAGATCTAATCCACGGTAGATTATCTCGTTTATGCCACTATCACCTATCATACTTGGCATACTTGCATATATTAGAATTATAATTTATTATTCACATTAATTTACGTTATAATTTTACTTTCTCAATTTCCTATAGTAGTTATTACTTATTTTACGTTACTACTTGCTACTAGCTGTTCTGACTTCCAGTGCTTTAGCTACACAACTACCACTACCTACGTCACTATATTAACGCAAAAAATACTTAATGAAATGTGAATAGATAATAATATAAATTATAGGTATGTTACATTTTATTGTAAGGTAAAACCATCTTAAATCGTTTTACCTACTATATTGATTATTGATTGACGCTTTATAATATATTAAAAATGTTTAGACGTAGAATTGTATGTAGATTCGAAATTTTCAAATTGTAATTATATCTTTTTAACAAGATCAAAATTAAATTCATCATTACCCAACTGTTACTGACTACTATCTATTAATCATAATTGCGTACATTTTTATATATTTTATTCAATATATCAAGTGTTTCAATTTAGTATTTGACAAATTTGTAAAGTATAGATACTATATTATTATGATATTAATTAATATTAATATTAAGTAAACATTAATGGTTTAGAATTTTGAAGAATTACAACTAATTGTATTTATCAGTTGGAAAATGACGACCAAAGTATTTATTGAAGAACATTTAGATAAATATCTAAAAAGTTTAGTTAAAGGAAAGTTGTTCATTCCAGGAGTAATTATTGGACAAGTGAGTAATTAAATATTAAAGTTGTAGTTCTATCAATTGCACATACTTACATTTATCAAGTAAGTCATTTATAATATCATAATTTTTTTTTTTCTAGGTCATAGGTAACAACTATCATATAGTGCATTTATCAGGAATGACCATATGGAATGATGATATACAAAATAATAAAATTGATGTTCTGGCTTTCAAAACTCTTTCTGATCTTTTAGCCAATAGTGATACAATATTCCAAAAGTCGTTAGAAGTAATCTAATTGTGCTTCTAAATATTATTGAAAGATTCAAATATAGTATTTACTGTTAAGTAAATAAATATTTTATGTATTTATGAATTATAATGTAGGTAGCAACTTTATTACCAGGAGGTTCACATGTACTTGGCTTATTTTTTATTGTTCCACAAGATTTAAAAAGTATTCAACCAATAGATATTGATTTTTATGAATTCTATAGAGAATTAAATGAAAATTTATTGTATAAAAAAACCAATGAAACATGGAATTACTTAATATTAAATTATTCAACTGTCAACAAAAAGTAAATTAAATATTGAAAATTCAATTACTATTTAAATATTTTCATATTTATATATGATAATATATATGTTTATTTGTAGATCATATTGTTACTCAGTTGATTTTAATCGCGCAAGTGGTCCTGAAAAAACAACTTATAAGGCAGTAGATTCAGTGTTTGGATCATTTAAAAATGATTGGATAACTCTTGTTGGAACATTTAACTTTGGAACATTAGATAGATTAAATGTAGGTGGTGGATCAAAAGCTTTATTTTCCATTCGTGATGTATGTATATTGTATATATATATATTATTTTTTTTACATATTTTAATAATGAAACAGTATTAAGTTATTAAACTTTTATATTTTGATAATATTTTAGAGTTTATTAGATAAATTTGAATCTGTATTGAATGAATCAATCTGTTCTTTTAACGGACGTGTATGTGATGAAAATAAAACCCTTAAAGATTTTGAATGTGATGAGATTGATAATGTATTGAAAAATGTTGTTAAGATTGAATTTTTCAGAGAGGTTTGTTTAATACCTAATATTTATAAATTATAAATGTGCTTAGCTTACTTAAAATGGAACAACAAGTCTTTATAATATTTTAGGTTGATTTGGGCAATGAATGTAAAAATTCTTCAATTACTGTAAAAAGAGGAAAGGGAAAAATTTCAATGTCTGGACTGTGCAGTATAGTGGTACCATTTAATCGTAATGGTACAATCAAGGATGCCATAAAGGTATAGTTATATTTTGTATTTAATCACTTAATCAACATTTCATGTAATATTATTTTAACGCTGATGAGTTATTATCTGTATCTATTTATAATATAATGTTTAAAATATGGAAGATTATGTAACAAAGTAAAAGCATTATATCGAAAAAAAACTATAGAATTAAGTTAATTTATTCACAAATAGTGGGAACTTAGTTCACTAAATTTCTGCCAAGTCTTTTAAATCAAAGTTAGGTATTTTGTTCTAAGCACATATTATGTTCAAAATATGGAGATTCCTCTAATTTCAGTTTCAACAAAAATTTAGGCTGTTTGTTTCTAATGTTAGATTAGTCAAAATAATTATTAGTTTATTATTTGATATGATTTTAAATTATTAATAAATATTTTTGAATTATTTAACATGTCAATAATAATAATTAAGCAAGTAAATAAAATAATTTGATAGTTTGTTATGTTTATCATTTATCAATTCTTCATAATTTTATGTTCTAATAAGAAACGTATTATTGTAGGCAATACATGAAGATGCCATGCAGACATTTGCTACTCGTTTAAAAATGCATTTGGAATCAATGGTTGAAGAAGAATCTCTTGAAGAAGAAGGTTCTAATTGATATTTATTTTAAAATAGTTTAAAATATTATGTTTTATGAATACAACATTTTTAAATTTCAGACGGAGATGCAAATATAGTACACGAAACTCCACGTCGAATATTAATTTTAAAAACTGAAGGTTCTAGATTTGCATTCAGTGATTATGTATTTCCTGGCGAAACTTCTCAAGAAGCAATGTCTGTGGCTGGAGAAATATTGAATCTTCCTGAAGACAAAATGGAATTGTACGATATGTTGGAAAAAGGTAAGTGTTTTGTAAAATATTGTAATTTCTGTAATTCTATTAATAACAATTATTTTTTTTTTTAATTATTTTATTAAAGTAAATATATACTGTGCTTTTCTCGGTACATTGGTAAATTTAATAAAATATAATATTTAATATTTACAATTTGAAACACAATAATTTTTAACATAACATTTATATGTTTAAAGGACGACATTCATATTATGAAACACTGCCAGACATTGATAGTAGTCCACCACAAGATGCAAGTACTTCATCACCAAATAATGTGTTAATTTATTTTAGTTGGGCAACTTTGATAGTGGTTATCTTAGCATATGTTATCAAACAGTTTTTTGTGTGAATTATATTAATGTGAAGTTAATTTAATTAACATTCCTTAATTTATTATTATTATTTTTTTTAATGTTTATTATGAAAATCATTTAAACTAATATTAAAACTAAAGTGATTATTTTAACAAAATAAATGTATATTTAAAACGTTAAGTTTGACTGAACAAATAATTAATATAAGGCTTTGCACATGTTTCATAAACTATTCACGCAAATTATAATAGTGAAAAAATTCTTTATATTTTCTATTTCTATTGAATAAAAATTTATTAATTTTCTATGTTCAACAGATTTTAGTTCAAAACAATAATTTAAATCAATCTTAAATCATGTTAGATTATGCTAAAAAGTATAATATTTTTTCATAACTATAATTTTTTGATTACTTAAAATTCTGGATAGCATTTATTAAACGTAGCAGTTTGTTTACTGCTATTAGTTCAAGTATAGTTTAAAATAAAATTATGAAATTATATAATAGAAAAGAAATGAAATGGCTGATAATTTAATTATGTACTTAATTTCTCCTACTATTTTAATCGTGCATATTAAACACAACCATTGATTTAACTTAAACTTATATTTAACTTATCGTTGGTTGCATGGTGAGACATTGTCTCACCTTGTTATTATTTAAGTGACCATTACTTATTGTATTGGTTTATTGTCTTAAGCATCCATATAAATTATCAGTAACATACTGTTTAAAAATATCTGTACATCAATAGACATTTTGATTGACTATTGAGTATTGGTTATTACTTATTAGTATTTGTTAAATGTAATTTATTTTTACATAAAGAGAAAAATTGTTTATGAGTGACAATTAATTATAGAAAAATTATAATGTTCAATAGTCAATGAATAACTCAATTTTTAATGTGATTGTAAACAACACTAATAATTGCATAATAAATGTATTGATGTAAAATATTTAATAATCATGAGAAAAATTTTAATTAGGTATTAGGCAACCAATTAAGTATAAAAAGTATACACTACACTACTACAGGTTAATGAAAGTATTATTTTATAAATATAATATTTTATATTGATTATTACTACTACTAGTATGTGTTACTTATTTATGGGTTTGTTTAGAATTTAGTAGGAGATTATATTAATCTTGGAAACTATTTTCATATTATTTTTTGTGGTACCTATATTTCAGTAATATAATTTATTTTAATTTTTAATAAATATAATTTAAATATTATTAATTAAAAATTAAATATTTCATTTCAACTGGAAATACAAAATATTAGGAATACATGATTCAAGTAAAAAATATTAAAGTTTAAAAAAGAGAAGTAATTTATCTTACAATCTATTTATGATTAATTTAATGAAAGAGTTAAGTGAGTTGCAATTGCGTTTACCCTCAAAATAATACTTGTTGCTGAGGATATTTCTAAGGATCTACCTACCTATACAGGGTGACTTATTTAATTGAAAATATAAAAAAACAACCCTGATAACATAATATGAAGAACCAAGTTGTTAAATACCTTTAAAAAACATTTCCGATTATGCAATAATCAAAAAAATCTTTCAGGTGTTTATGGCCCATTGGTGAGTGTGTATTACGAAGTTCTAACTCCCCTTAGAAAAATAATATTTACTTGTAAATTTAATAAATATTAACATGGCATTATTGCCTAATGACTTAATAAATATCATTAAACAAAAAAATGTGCAGTTTTTATGATATATTTTATATTATTGGTATCAAATAATACATTTTATTATACTTTATTTTATTATTTTCAATTTTTTTCTGTGCTTATTAAAATGTATTTAATTTAATTGTAATAAACCTATTCACATTTTAATAATACAAATAATAGCATATAATTGTAGCACGTGTTTTATATTTAAATGTTAGAATAGCATTACACTTTTAATTAGTTGAAATTTAAATTTTTTTTAATTTAGCGCCAGTGACGAAGCCAAAGGTGGACTGAAGCAAACCATGGTCCCCCTTGAAAACGTCCTGCCCATTTGTTAGTCCACCTTGGAATTTTAATTTAAATTTTCGAATGTTATTTCGTAAATAATTGTAAAAGGATATATGTAATGCTTAAGTCTAGTTATTATACGTACACAGTCGCACAGGTCAAAGATTGTTTACGTTTTGTATATTGAGTGTCGTTGGCGAAAATGCTTTAGATGTAAATATTATCATGATATAAATCTAATTTTAGGCCATTCTAAAAAATAATATAACTATATGTCCATGTTTATAGGCACAAATGTAGCATCTATATAGATAACAAATTCTATGATCATCTATGTTTAGCTATGTTCATAGGTACGTTTTTTATACGATGATTTCATTTTTAACTGAGTCAGGTATTTCCATTTTTAAACTGCACTATTTTATATACCTACGTAAAACTCGATAAAAAATTGAGATATCGTAAAAACCTAAGGTATGAACATGGATAACGTTAATCTTACCATTATGTTCATAATAGGTCGATTCATTCTAATATTAAAGTCAACAAAGTTAAACGCGAATTGCTGACCGTAGATTTGGTGTGTTACACACTCTTGTATGACGGGGTCAACAAATCCGGTTGTAATGCTCCATTAAAAGATTAAATTCCGGATTAAATAAATAATTTTTTATTGCAGAGATACTATATTCATATTATAAAGACATAGAGTTCAGGGTTAGGAGTGGTTCAGACTGCGGACAACAATATTGGTCCCCTAACTCACCATTTGAGTTTTTATCTTATGACTGTGCCTGCTCTAATATGTATTGGTCTCCTTTTGGCCCGCCCACGTAAAAAGACATGTCGTGCTACTATATTTTGCCCCCCTTTTTTTAAATGTTACTTGTGAGTTGTGGGCGCCCATGACTACCAAAAGCAGGCATACCTATCAATGTGAAATTTTAAGCTTTACAAATAAATGGGGCTGTAATGATGGACGATGGTAATTACTAATTAGTAGCAATATGGTTACTGGTAAGTCACAAACAGATAAATCATAATATGTATAGACAAAAATTGAACGACAATTTTTCATAGATAATATAAAATATTATTATCTATACGATTTTTCAAATGCTAATTATCTATTGTATATAAAATTAATTATGCCGCTAGAATTTTGGATATATTTTAAACATTGAAATTAATAATATTAAGAGGACTATTAGGGGGTTATATTATTGACCAATCTTTTTATAGTTATGTGTAATCTATTACATTTGGCCAACCAAGAAAAATTTTAAAAAGAAACTTTTAAGACTCTTGAATCTTGATTCAAAAGTATTAAGTAGGTACCTAATGAAGAAATTATTGATATTGAAATATAAATATAAAATTGGTCAAACTTTAAATACAGATTTTTAACCAAACGGTCGTTTTATGTCAATTATATTCTCATAATTTGAAATACGAAATCTCAATAAATGTTTATTTTCTAATTTGAAGAGTAAGTAGTAAGTACCTAAAATAAAAATTGGCTGATTTAATGATACGGTAACTTCTGTATATTTGCGAATGTGCATAGGTAAAGTATTATTAATTATTACACGGTGTAGGTGTTACATTTTCACCACTTATTAAAGGTAATAACTATTTATGTAATATAATAGGAATTCGTTGAAAATTATAATTCACATTATTGAATATTATAATATATTTTAGAACTTAGATAAACTGTATGAATAGCGCAAGAAAATCAAAACAATAGCTATAAATTATATAGACAACATAATATTCGAAAAAACTCTAAAACGAGGACTTGATGCATATTTTATTGTTGAATGTTGATGTTCACTGAGTAATAAAATTATTATTATTATACATTACTATTAAAATTTATATTTTGAATATAGGCGTGCCCAAATTTTTTTCGTAGGGGATGCCAGTAGGTATATTTTAAAATAAATGAACTCCATTCATAAATATATATTATATCATAATTTATTTTTACACAATAAAATTGCAGTAAAGTTCACAAATCAATAGTAGAAAATAGTAAAAATATAATTTTAACTTTAATATTTTTTAATTATAAAACAAATTCAAATTTTGAATTTTAGTATAATAATTAATATGAATTTAATTAGGATAATATTTTATTCTAGTTCTAATGTACGGTCAAAAGGGTATACTTTTTTTAACTCATCAATAACATCTCTATAATTTATCTGTGATGCTAGACGTTAGTTCTTGCTCTATAAATATCACCATATTATTGTATCCAATCTGTCTCGCTTTAAGCGGTTTTTTTATTTTGTTTTCATAAAATTTAGTACGGAATAAGCTCTTTTACAAAAGCAATTTGTGCCAGGAATGTAATAACAACTTTCAACGCTTTGTACCTATACATTTTCAAAATTTTTACTTAATGATAATTTTTCTAACCACTGATGAATTGCTGGATTGTTTTGTTTGATAGGCTTGCAACAAAATCGGATTAAGAACGTAAAAGTCTTAGTTCACTTTTTAATTTATCACTATTATGTATAGGCATATTTTTTTGAAAGGTAATTCGTTATAAAATTATTCACCTTTTAGTCCAATTAAATGAACAATTGTATTAATAATATTTAATCCTTCAAAACCATTTTAAAAATCATTTTAATCGTCTAATACAGTGAAGAAAAGATGACACTTAATTGCACCTTTTTTATCCTTTACGGTATATGTTGTGTTTTCATTAGATCAATTTTTGTAGAAATCTTCCTACTTTACACGTTTAGTTTCTCAATATCAAATTCATTACAAACTGCATACCTACAAAGAATATTATCAGACTTCTCTATGATTAATGGTTATCTGCTACTTTGAAAGTTAACGTGAATAGTTACGTGAGTGGCATCGATGTTATATCCCTATTCCCAATTGGCATTACCATTAAAATGTACTTGGTGAAAATCATGGTTTAAACTTTTTAAGTAGGTTATATCTATAGTCGTGATGAAAAGTTTAAAAAATAGTGTAAGCTCAATTGATGTCTATTTATAACAAGGTTTATAAAATATCTTTATAAAGAATAATGAACAAAAAAATTTCTTCGTAGACCGCAAGGGGTGCCATGGTATATACCTGGCGGTCGGCACCCTCCATGGGCACGTCTATGATGATGAATATAATTTATTGATTAACTATAAGTCGTTCGCTGTTAGTTGACTGCTTAACTGAATCAGTTCGTAAAGTGTTCTAGGATAATATTTTAAAAGCGCTTTTGGTAGATTAATCGTCAAATCAATAAATTGTATGATTTTTATAAATATAAAAATTTACTTAAATCAAACTTTCTTAATTCCTGGTTTATGACAATAAACATCGATTTTTTTTCAAATTTTCCCTCTAGATATATGGGGGTAATTCGTAACATCCTCCACAGTCCATACGCTGTCTACTCCAAAGAAACGTCACTGGAAGAAAATTGCAGTGCAGCCACACAATGAGCGTTTTCCGACGATTTTAGGTTATGTACAGATCTCCGAATTTGACTATACTGTTAAAAGTTCTTTTTATTATTTTCGTTTTGTAGTTTGTACAGAGCTCTGAGTTATTCGTATTTTCTTGTTATTACTTGTATTTTTTTGATATTTTCCACCAGAAATTCCCCGTAAACTCAGTGTTCATCACTGAATCGTTGTCATCAATTATCACTAGAACAGCCTGACACAATTCCGAACATTTCCGGTATGTTACCATGAAACGTTTACATTTAAAATCTCTATAAGAGGGTGTCGTCCGTGCGGTACGCGCGGAAGTCACATTCGAACTTTGCAATCTAGTATTGAATTGCGATATTTACATTTTTTTTTGTTTACAACACCCCCAGGTTTATTTCCACAACGATGGCGGACAGTGCCAGCGAGAGTGATTCATCGTCCATCGACGGTGGACCTATCATGATGCCTCCATCGCCGATCACAAGGGAACAGATGCAAAAGCGAATCGATTCCCTACAGCAGCAAAATCGTGTACTCAAAGTAGAATTAGAAACCTACAAGTTAAAAATGAAAGCGATGGATGAAGAATGCAAACGACTGCGTGAGACATCAGTTTATATTGTGAGTACTATTTTTTTTATCTAAGAGCTAAATAATTAATGTTTGAATTAAGTAGGTATATGTCTGATTTGCCATTTTTAGTTATTTTAATTTGTTAGTCATGAAAATATCCGTTAAGTTAAATTCTTTATTTTACATCTACTCAGGTTTTTAATTATTGATTCAATTATGTATTTATTGTTGGAAATATAATTGAAATTAAGTACAAATCTCAAACCACTTTATGTCTATTAAAGCAATATTGAAAATCAATTTCTAAAATTCACTTTCATTTATTGAATTATGAATAAAAAATGGAAGTAGGTATCTATCAATTTCTGTTGTATTTTGAGATTTAAATATTTGTTTATTTTCATGTTATCTATAATTCATTCATAGACTTGTTTTAATAATCATCTGTTAATTGTATTAAGGATTATAACTAATAGTTTAAAACTTATTTAAAGTACTAGCTGACTCAGCAAATATTGTTTTGAGAGTAGTTCAGTTTTGTTATCAGTACTCTATGTGTATGCCAAATTTTAGCAAATACAAAATGTATATCATCACGAGTTCATACATAAAAATTCCATTGATTAAATCACTCAATTTCTCCCAAATTTTTAAATTTTTTGTACAATTTTTCTTTCTGTAAACACTTAATTTTAATTAATATGAGCGTTAAAAAAAAAAATGAGCTCAATTGGTCATTCATTTGCAAGATACATACTTGATATGCTTAGATACTTAGATAGTGCTAAATTCATACATTTTTATTAGTAATTAATAATATTCTCACACTGTTTCAACAATCTTAATGCATATTAAATATTTTGTTGGACAATAATCTTAAATTTTTAAGAAAATAATATTCGGGTATCATCTGAATGGATTTTTTATACCTACTGTTATTTTATTTAATTAAAATAAAGACATGATATTATATCTTTTAACTTAATAATTTTATTAAATAATAATTAAATTAATTGAGTACTTATGGTGTGATATAGAATATGAATTATATTATTACATGATAAATAGCTTAATAGCTTGTATATTTAAAATCAAGAAATTATTTTCTATTTTTTACAGCAAGTTAGAGCAGAACAAGAAGAAGAATTTATTAGTAATACCCTTCTAAAAAAAATTCAAGCTTTAAAAAAAGAAAAGGAAACATTAGCCCATCATTACGAACAAGAAGAAGAATGTTTGACAAATGATCTGTCACGAAAATTAACTCAGGTTAGTTTGGCCAATGAAACTAGATTATTTCTAGTAAATTTCTAGTAATAATACATTCTTTAAATTGGTTACAGTTACGACAAGAAAAATGTAAATTAGAACAGACTCTAGAACAGGAACAAGAATGTTTAGTTAATCGACTTATGCGTAAAATTGAAAAACTAGAAGCAGAAACTCTTACAAAGCAAACAACTTTAGAGCAATTACGGCGTGAAAAGGTTGATTTAGAAAATACATTGGAACAAGAACAAGAAGCTTTGGTAAATAAACTATGGAAACGTATGGATAAATTAGAAGCAGAAAAAAGGTAAAATATTTATTTAAATTAAAATAAATTATACTTTTTGAATAATCTAAACTTAAATTTTGATTAGACAATTACAAATAAAGTTGGATCAGCCTGTTTCTGATCCAGTACTACCTAGAGATCAAGTAGGACCCAACAAAGGTGAAATGGCTACAAATATAAGTGCACATTTACAACATTTACGTGGAGAAGTTACCAGATTACGACACCAACTTGATTCTTCTAAAAAAGAAAGCAAGTACATATAAATAGATGTTATTCTGTTCTTAACATCCAACGTTTGGATTTTAAGATATTATGATAATCCATTGATTGTTTTGACACTATTAGTTGTCCTTAGGGGGGTTATTATACACTATTTGGTGTCAGATATTTATTTAAAATAAATTATTTGGTATTTGATCATTAATTAATGTGATTAATAGATATTTTAAAATATGTATTTACACATAATTTGGAAGTATGATCATATGAGAGCAGTCTATTAGATTTTATTATTTTATATATACACTGAAGAAACTAGAGTCCACATCAAACATACTAGTTAATAGTGATCTTGCCCCTTAGATGTCACTATACAACAAAAGATTATATTTTAAGTAATTTTCACACACAAAAAGGGCATGTATTTTTAAAATAAGTTGTGATTATAACGACTCAGATTTTGAGATCTCGAAAGATAATGATGATGATAGCTGGGAAGAATTTTTAAATGTTAAAATTTGTAGTTTGCACATAGATAGATATGAAAACTATTTTTTTAATAACATATTTTCATATCAAAAACTTTGAAAACTTTAATTTCCAACCATCATCATATTATGTTGACAATGCATGTTTTTAATTTTTTTGTGATTGTCAATACTGATAGTATTCATTGTGTTATATGATAAAGAAAATGTGATGTTACTTAGCTGTTTTAAATAGTGGATTAAATAAATTTGTGGTACCAAGTGTTTAACGTCTTGGGGTAGTCACCAACCATCAGTACGTTTGACGCGGATTCTATTAAAAGTCATTCATAATTAATTTATTAATGATCGAAAAATAACTAGAAATAACTTGTTTGATGTTGTTTGTATGATGTGAATTAATTTTTTTCTATTAATATTGTTACTTATATTTTAATAAAAATGGTATACTCTTTAGATTCTAAAAAGATGGAAAAAATGGCAAAAGAAGAGCGACAAGTACGTGAAGACAATTTACGATTACAAAGAAAATTACAACTTGAAGTTGAAAGACGTACAGCTCTATGCCGTCACTTATCAGAATCTGAGAGTAGTTTAGAAATGGAAGAAGAACGTCAATATAATGAAATGGCTTCCAATCGATGCCGAACGTCATCGAGTCCACTTCCATTTCCTCCATCTCCTAGCCAATCTAGGCCTCTTAGTCCTGGATCCACTGCTGGAACACCAGGTAATAAATCTTTTATACATTAAATAAATAATTAAAAACAATAAATTAAAAATTTGTCTTAATATTTATGTAATAAGTGAATGCCTACTGTTTATGTTACTGGGTTCTGATGTATGCTCAAATGTTGTTACTTGTTTTGTATTGTACGATAGATACGACTGAAGCGGGTAGTGTATCTACATCACCGGAACAGAAAAAAAGGAAGTGCGGTGGTGGAGGTGTAGACGATAAGTGTTTTGTCCATCCGTGAGTTGTGTAAGTAGAGGGCAGATAGCTTTTTGATTAAAAACAAAACCAATAGTGCAGAGACTGTTTATAATGAGATAATAATATTTACATATTACATACATTTCAATAGGCATTTACTTAATACTATTAGTACTCAATTAAAATGTGTCAAAGCTATTCTCAATGTTAATTTTGTATATACATTTTAATAATTTTATTTTATTTATACAAAGTAAATTATATACAATTGTATTATATTATTTTAGGAGTGTTTCGTGGCGAAATTGGTGTATTGGGCTATGCCAACATGAATCGATGTTATATTTGTGGCCAAGCTGTACCATCGAATCTCGTCATAGGAGCACCATCAACTCCTTTATGTCCTACTACTCAAGTGGTAAGTCAATACAGTTATGTTTTTTCATTGAGTTATAAAATTAAAAATATATTTATTACTTATTTCATTGTATGCAGATAAATCAATCTCGAACTTTATCGTTGGGGCGTCCAGTCAGTGAACGTTTTGTTAAGCCAATTGTGCCACTATCATCTAATATAGTTAATAGTGGTAGTATACCAACCAGTTCACAAATCCCTTTGCCCAGTTCAACGTCACCATCATCATTACCTGCAACACTGATGGATTCAGCCAAATACTAATTTAATCTTATTTATGTACATACATTACAAGCATATATTATATTATCTATGTATGTATAATTTTACTTTTATTACTTTAATAAGTTGTAAAATTTAATATGTAATACATTTTCATAAAATAATATCAGTTAAATAATAACATTAAGTTTGTAATTTACACATGAAGTCATTTCAAATTAAAAAAAAATCAACTAACAATTAAATAGTAATGGATAGATCCCTAACAATAAGTTGCCTATTGTGCATACTATGCCATTGTATTTTATTTATTATTATTATTAATTTATTATTTATGAGAGTTTATTATCATATTTAACTATAGTTTTTGGTTGGGTAACACTTGGTAAAAAAATAGTAAACCTAGTTAAATGTGATTTGCCTTTTATTGTACCTAAGCAAATGTTTTGTGTAAAGCAATAGTTGATTTTTTTCTTCATTTGTAAACTATGTAAAAGTTATTTTTGATGTATGATTAATATTTGGTAAAAGTAAATTATTACCTATTTATATTAATATTTGTTAAATACTGTGTTGTCCATTTTCTTTTTTGAGTTTTGGAAACAAAATTTTTTTTTTTTTAATCACATTATTGTTTGTAAGGAACATGTTTATAATAATTACTAAGTCCTATAATTCAATAATTGTATAAGTATATATCTAATGACTAATTCTTCAATTAATGATAATTTATAAATATCTTAATTGTCTCTTTTCTATATTGCCTGTTTATATTACAATTACCAATATTATTCACCTGTAAGTAATATAAATTAATAGTATTAACTATGAAGTCAATTGACTATGTGTCTATAAGCTATTTAAATTATATTTTTATTACTTGACACAACTTTAATTTGTGTGGTAACCAATTATTTTTGGTATTTCATGTTTCAGTTTCTATACAAGCATTGGCAGTTATAAAAAATATTTAATGAATATAAAACTAATATCATTTAATTTTGACATTTGAGAATCTGAAAATATGTTAAATATTTAATTTGATGTATAAAAAACAATATCATTGAATATTAAAGTTGCGGGAGTATGATTACTTGAGTTTAAATAAATTATTTTGTAGTTATTACTACAAATCTTGTCTACGTGTCATAAAGTAGATTCTCATAAAAATCAATTGTATTTTTCATTATAAGTTGTTATACTATAGGTAAAACACATACATCATATTATGCATATCAATTACTCATGTATCGAATAGTATGTTATCTGATTGTTATTTAACGTTAATGAATTACTAAGTATAGATTTGTATTTTTACTCAACATTTTTTTTAATAATTAATATCTGAGGAATTAAATAAATTTAATTCTTTCTCTTTATACACAAAAAAACATGATAATAATTAGGGTTCAGATTTAAAGGTAATATATTTAATAAAAAGCATTTAATTTACAAAAAAAAAAGCAGTAATTACAAAGTAAATCATAAAATTAAATAGTTTGTGTTTTGTATATTTTAACTAGTTTGTATTAAAAAGAAAATTAAAGACTAATAAACAATTTTGATTCTAGTATCAATACATTACGAATATATTTCAATCTATAGATACATTGTAAATTTTTATAAACATTAAATTAATTGACAATACCAAATATTCGATGAAGTATTTAGTGACATCGACTAATATTGCAGATAATAAAACCCATTGAAAATAATTGACAAACAACAATGCACAGTTTTTAGAAGATCTTATTGATTTGTACTGTTAAGACATGTTGTGTATAAAACTATCAAATCCATTGAAAATTAAACACAAAAAAAAATTTATCAATTATCTTAAATATTAAATGACACACATTTTTATATAAAAATTATTTTTTCTTTTATTAATTAAAAAAAGGCTATTGCCTTCAAATCCGAATCCTAATAATAATACATATTATCTATGTAAAACTGTAAAAGAGAACATTTTTTACTTTTATTGAATTTAACTTATGAGTAGGTTATTCCATTTTTATATTATTAGTTTCTTGATATAAAGTTGAAAGAGACTTTTATAATGTGTATTTTTAAAGAGTATTTTATTTCAAAAGACTTTAAATGATTTTATGAGGCCTTAAAATGTTTGATTTTGTAGTGTAAACACAACTACTGCATTGATTCTAGTAATCTGTTGAATTAAATATAGTTACAGTTAATGGATTCATAAAGAGTCAATGGATAAAATGGCTAGGACATGTTATGCGGTGTAACACAGATGTATTAACCAAGGTAGCATTAAATTGGAAGCCGGAAGGAATAAGACCACGGGGTCGTACTCGGAAAAGATGGATGGATGTCGTGGAAAAAGATTTGGAAGACCTTGGAGCACAGAATTGGAGGGAAATAGTACAGGATCAAGATAAGTGGGATGATTTAGTGATGGCGGCAAAAACTCTTGGAGAGTTATGAAGGCCAGAAGAAGAAGAATCTGTTGTTTTATTGTAAAATAATATTAAAAACCAAAAATATCTTAAGACTTTAATATTTCTGACTACCAATCAAAGAAAGCTTGGAGGTAGAAGTTGGAACTGCAATTTCTGAGTATGTAGGAGAAATAGGTAAGAAAATAAAAATGAAAAACAAATATTTCACAATCAATAATGGTTTATAAAATTCGATTTTAATAAATAATAATTTGTTTATGTATAAATAATATAGGGTCAATTAATTAAAAACAAATAATGCCCTAATATCATAAAAAATATAAAAATATGAGTATAAATTAAAGTAATCTTTAATTTATAAAAGTTTTGTAAATAAAATAAAATTGCTTATGAGATGAAATATCCATCGTCTTTAGTATATTTTACACTGTCAAATGCTTTGGTGGTTGCTGTACAGAATTTTTTTAGAACTGAGTCTCTTAGGCCACAGTCACTAAGGTTTTGTTGACCAAATAAATGTATAGCTTTGTCTTCGGATTTTTGACTATTACAAAATTCTAATATAAATGAAAAAATAATATTATTTTCCAGTATATAGTTTTGAATTTATTAGTAATTTATACCTTTTTTTGATTCTGAAGCTAACGTAAAAGGTTTAGTGCTCTCTAAGTTGGCAAATGTAGCAGTAAATTTCTTTAAAGAACTTGATAATAAATCACAAAAATTGTAGACTGTATCTGGCAGAACAGGTCCTTTTACTTCTATCGAGTTGTAGCTTTGACCATCCACTTTTACTGTACTCTGTCTTACCTAAAATATTTATTAAAAATTGTATTTGCTTACATTTACATACATACATATATATATATACAATTTGAAGTGATATTTATTTAAAAATGAATCATATTATTATAAATAGAATCCTTACTTTGAGTGATGTTAAAGTAGCTCCAGTAAAGGCTACTGGTGCTAGAAGTGTAGGCGGTATACCCGCATGAGGTCCTGTATTTGATACCGTTGAACGACAATTTATTAACCAATTAAACAGGGCTTGTGCTTCAACACCAGTCACAACCACTAAAGACTCTTTAGTATTATCAATTTTTCGTTGACGACTTGACATTAGTTCATTCTAGAAATAAATTTTGAAATATATTTACAAATTCTATACTATTAATAAAGTCCTGTAAAAGTACCTGTGAACTTTGCAAGCGTTTAATTTCAGATTTTTCAGCACCCATTGTTTCCAACCAACGTTCAGGTTCTTCATCTTCTCCAATTTTGGTGTCTTCTAATGTTTTTTTAGTAAAGAGTTCACTGCTATGTTCGTTCTCTTCGAGTAATGGCATTGTGAACTCTATATCTGTTAAATGATTATACAATAAGTATGATGAATACTCGGTAACAATCATGATATATTATAATACAATAATATACTATGGTAAGAATACAGAATTAATATATATACCTTCACGTTTCAGAATATCTCGAAGTCCTTGAGTTGTTGGATATATCATTGCATTTAGCTCTTCATAACCACCAATGCTCGATGCTCGAAAAGTACATGTAAAGGCATTAGCCAGAACATAGAAGTATGGACATTGGTTAGCTCGGACAAGCTAGTGAAAATTATTATTAATATAAATACAAAATAAAGAATTGAGTATTTCATTGTCTTAAATGCATATACTTAATTTATATTTTATTCAATTAATTTTGTTTAATATAATCTAATATTATCTTTAAAGTAATGATTCATTTTTTTCCTATTAATTATAGCTATACATACTATAGATAGTATTTATAGCAGTGTTACTAACTTGATCAGCTCTAACACTGAATTCACTAAATTTAAGTGAATATCAGGAAAAAATTAATGAAATTTTACAGTAGTCAAGCTAAGTTTGATGAGTAATTATAATGTTGACTAGTATATTTAAATTTATATATGCATTAATAATTTGTTAAATTTTAAAATATTACCTGAAATAAAGATCGGAAGCTATCAATCCAGTGAGTAAAAAGAGACTCTCTAAAAAATGGATTTGCATTAATAGAGGGTACTGAACTGGCTGAATCCTTAATTGCAACACGAGGACCTCTGTGAATGAGATCCACCCAAGGTAAGGATGGATGTTGCCAAGCCATACAACATTGGTGGAATCGACTATTAGGACTAGTATCTAATGAGTTTTCAATATTTTCAGTGTCCAGACATCTTACAAACCTAAATGTTTAAAAATTAGGATTTTAATATAACGAACTATCAAAAATAGACTTGCCCAGTTGTAGCTGATGCTTCTTCACATGTTTTAATTTTTTGGCTCCATGGAAATGAGTTTGGAGATAAAAAACGTACTTTAGTTCTTAACGTCCAATCAATAGGTAATTGTGTTTCACCTTTTATCACTTCAATATCCTGAAATTATTAATGTGAGTGAGATACAGTTAACACTTAACATTCAATCTTATTCTATACATCTTCAACAACTGTCACTGGATTAACTTTACGAAGAACATCTACAAATGAGATGACACTCTCATCAAGAGCTGAGAACTGGGAATAGTTGGTTACAGATGGAATGGATTCACAGTCTCGTATCAGCTTAGATAGATTTGATGTACAAGCATTGTCATCGTCATACTCGACCCTAGCTCTTTTCAATGTCTCTCGTGCATCCACTTGTTTCTTGTTCTTGACAGGTGTTTTCCGTCTATGGAAAAATAATATAGTAAAGTGCACGATGGTAATATTATTATTATGGTTGTAATCCCAACCAAAACTTCTGTTCATCACAATAGATCTACTCTTACCTGAATGGATTTTTAGCTGGTGACCTCTGTGAAATTGCTGACTGACCAGTTGATACCTCTCCCGAGGAGGCTGTGTCCATGGATTTGACAAATCTGGCTTGCAGTGCACGTTTTTTCATCTTCATTCGGTGCATCTTCATCACGTCTTCTGGCCGTTTCCATTTTGGCGGCGTACATCCGTTGTCCAACTCTAACATTTGAAACGATGCTACAGACAAACGAGGCTGATAAGTATTACGGCAGAATACCGCACCAACGATGATTTTTAGTAAATGTATTTCTTCGTTTAAAAATTGCATAAAAATTTGAATGTGATGGCAGAATGCAATTGCAGCTGTTGCTGATCATTTTTATCTCGTTCTATTTACCGTTGACAGTTGTTATCAGTGAAACCCAATATAATAATATAATGTATAATATTATCTAGCATGTGTACTTATCAGTGCTTAGGCGTAACACAGCTGCGCATTTTTTACCTTTTTATATTAAAAAAAATACGTCACGTTTGCGCATTTTTTACCTTTTTATATTTGAAAAATACAACACGATTTCACACAAAATTAATTTAATTTTAAATTGTTCGCTTATATGATTATAGTTTAAAAAATTGTAGTTAAAAATCTGAACTAGATGTTTGGTTGAAACATTTTTTTGCACTTGGATTCTTACCTTAAGAAGATGTGGAAGATGCTTTTGCTTATTTAATCAAAAATTGCCTTACTGATAATTTTCAATTCACTGATTATAATATACTAAATAATTATAGGTACATCATCTGATGCCGCTTTTCGACTGATTTTATGGGCAACAAGGTAAAAAGCGCGTAATCATGTTGCGTGTTGACGTATTTGCTGTGAGAATAATATGATAATATTGTTAAGTAATAAAGCAAGTGATGATTGACGTGATGTTGCGTAGGCTTTTATCAATTCTGGATCTTTCCGACCAGACCTTTTTTTTTTTTTTAGTGCTTTTATTTGAAACATTACAGCACAAAAAACAGATCTTATTGTTTACCTATATTACAGTAGGATCATATTTTCAGAGATAGGTACACATACTGTGGCGCCGAACTAAATTATATTTGGATGAACAATAAAACCCAAAAAGTACCTACTCACTCAAGCAATTTAAGTAGAGCCATAAGGGACTTTGCCCTCACATCCTTTACTGATAAAACACAAGTACCTATACAATTTATTATCATTTATCATTAATAATAATTAAAAATAAGTTTGGAATTATGTTCATAGATGGACGCCGGTCTCGAGGAATTGAGAGCGACGTCTTACAAGTTGTCCTGACAATCTTCTTTCAGGAGGCTATTTGTCCGTATTTTCAAATCTATCCTTTATTAATCCCGTTTTTTATCTTACTGTTATATCGTAATTTATAACTTTCGAAATTGATTTTAGGAAAAAGTTGTTTATTTACGGTATTTTCGTATGACATTATTGAGTAGAATAATAAAAGAATCTATACTTTTCAATAGTATTTTTGGATTCTTGTTTTTACCATAATTATAATTTATAGCTGAATCACTTTATATAGGTAATACACTTTTACATATCAAATATAAATTAATAATACTCCATTGGGCAGCGAGAATTCGTTAATTACTTTAGATCATTGTCAAATATTTTAATACAAAAACATTTTAATATTACAAAATGTTTTTGAGATAAATAACGGATGCAAATAATTTATCTATAGCAGTGTTTTCCTCGTAACTCTGAATTTTCACGGAAATCACTTAAAAGTTCAGCGAATTTTAAATGCTTTTTTTCAAAACATCCAAGGAAATTATTTAAAAAAATTTAATTAATCAATAAGAAAAAGTTTTGTTGGTCGTGCGTATTTATAAAATATATTTTAATACTAAATAATAGTCAATTACAGTAAAAAAGTTGTACTATAAAAACCATGTTAGCACTTTTACCTTTTGCAATTACACTTTTATATGTCTATATGTGTGAAACCTGGTTCTCAGTTTATGTATCGATAAAAACTAAATATCGCAACAGAGTTACAGACTTAACGCCGAACCTTATAATATGAGAATTCAACTTTCATCAATAAAGCTCAATATCAAGTATATCATCTATAATAATAAAAAACAATTTCACTCAACTCATTAAAATTAAAATTTAAAAGTACCAAATAGTTTTTATACTTTACTAGTTATTTTAGGAACTTTTGGTTAATTCTGGAAATATTTTTTGAATTAAATTATTATTATCATTATATAAAATAATTGTCGTTTTTGTTGCAATAAACCTTACATAATTTTTTGTGTTATAACTATTGAAACAAAATAAGGATTCCACGATAAAAGTAGACATAAAAAAGGTTACAAAAATAAAATACATTGTAAAACGCTGATCCTCAGTAATATTGTATCTATAAACTATAACGTATAAATTATAATTTACCTGATAAAGTTCTGTTACAGCCGGTGGTGTGGTAAACTTGAGATTTTTCAGACACTATAGTCATGTATTATATTTCACCAACACTCATCTCACCCACCTAAATTATGATAAAGGCGTTTAATTTTTAACTACCTAATACCTATTGTAGTAAATGCTAGTTGATACTAAATTAATATTTGTTAACCATTACTAAACATCTAAAACATCCACAAAAAACTCAGAAGTGACCGCTTTTCGATTATCCCATCACCACGCTACCGCATTCTTCAGATAAGTAGATATAATTCAAAAATTATTTAAGTATAAAAAATTTAATTTATTAATACATAAACTATTAGTATAAATTAATCGAGAAATAAAGTGTTGATGGAAGGAAGTGAATCAATAGTTCAATAAGGTTGTTAAAGCTTAAGTACGTATACGTTTGATTAGGTACACTAAATATAATCTGGGACATCATAATTATTACTCATGAATTGTAAACTTACATACTATTAATGAATTCGAATTTTTACATTTTCAGAGAATAGAATGTTATGTACATCGTACATGTTGTATAACATGGGAATAACATTAAAATGTCATAACATATTATTATGAGTATATCCGTATAGGTATCATTAATATTACATAGGTACCTATATTATGCTTAATGCGTGTAGATAATATATATTTATATTTTATGGATTCTGAACGAAGAAAATGATGTACTAGATTTATAATGATGCGTTTTAAATTAAGTTTTTGTGAACAATTTTTATGGAAAAAAAAACTTAAGAATAAAGAGTTGTCAATAAAGTGTTTTTTTCGAATTTCTTAAATTTTCGAGCGTTAGTAATAAAATGAAAATAGTGTTGAATCGTTTTTCAAATTTGTTAATTGTCAACACATTTTTAATCATTTATCACGGTTTCTCACACATACTATGCACCTAGGTGTTTTAATTTATAGCCTTTTACAATCGTGTATACTATGCAATTTGATTTTATTATTTATGTTATTGTAAAAAAGTCACAATATTGTTTTCACTACCGTCTGCAGACAAAAATCAAATAAAACTAACTCCTCCACTGAATAACCAGTGTGACAGTATAATGTATATATATCGGTAGACAGCGGTAGAGGGGTTTAGCGTATTTAGAAGTAAAATAATATTGTCAGGTATATACAGCACTAGGATCTTTAAGTTTGTATAATAATAACATATATTTATTTTGCACGCTAGATATATCAGTTGGTCATCTATTATGCGTACGTGTCCGTAATAATTTGGATACATTCCATCATTTCGTTCTACTTGGACGAGAGTGAACGCGAATTACATAAAAAGAAAAACACATGTATGTATATACACACCAAACCAATAATACACTGGCACATAAAGTAGTATATTTTGTTGTAAAATGTAATTATTATTACGCCGTCTTTGGAATTGCGCGTCAAAACTCGTAATATATGTACGTATTGTACATATTATATTATTTTCCGGTGATGTCATTAATTATAATATAGTATGACAATTAAATTAACACTAATAATAGTCAAGCTAGCTACGTTATTATGTGTTAACTATATAGAAAACACATGTGATGATCTAATTACACTGCAGATTTACTATTTTTTTAAAACTAAGTTTTTATTTATTTAAGTTAAGTATAATATATATTAAATTTAAATTGATCACGCCGATCACGGTAATTGATAATTAGAAGTTTAATGTTTATTTTTCCAAATAATAATGAAATCTAATAAAAAAAAATATGTATCTAATATCTAATCATCAACAAAACATTTTACGTTTGAAAGTCAAAAATGAAATAACCAGTAGGTTTATAGTATAGGAAAATATTTCGATCTATGTATATATGTAGATTTTTTTTTTCATGAACACAACTTTGGTGTGGGGTCAGCCAATTGCGAATTACCCTACGTCGTATGTACAATATACAATACAAACATTATGTCCATAAAATAATGTGTATATTATGACGAGAGATTAGCTGGGTGTACCTTTATAGGCACATCTCATATCCGCACACACATGTCCGTTGAACAATTATTATTAGAGAAACGCTCAACGCGATTACGTTCGCGATTATCGTTATCGTTTATTTAAATCGACATGTAAGGTAGTCGGGAGGAAAAGTCTTCGACGATTTTCGAAATTAACGCACGTCTAATGCACGCGCGTGTGTGCATTATTTTTTTTATTATTATAAACATTATCTTTAACATTATCATTACCATTATTATTATATCATTAAAGTTTTAACTAAAACGGGTGGACATAACAAATATGTAACAATAATAATAATAATAATAATATAATAAACACCTACTCTTATTATTACGGCATTACCGTCTATATATGCACATCTATCAGGTATCTATGCACGTCTATATGCGAATAAATTAAATACACGCAAAATGAAGGAGGTAAGATATCTACAATAGTATGAGCTACACTACGCCAGTACGTATACTGCAGAGTTTGAATAACATATAATGCGTATTATAAATATTGCGTGTAGATATAATATAATATTATATTATATATAAATAAATAGAAACATATATTATTATATTACAGGTACGAATGCCGAAGAAAGTTTCTTCGCGATTCCCGTCGGCCATGCGTTTAAATAATATTGTTTGAATATTATACGCATCGTACCTATCTGTATATCATATTATGATTATTATTATTATTACCTATACGGTGCGTTTTGCATCCGTTAAACGCTTGCGTCGCATTTTGAGATAATTAAGTTTCGCGAATGAGCCGTTACGCGCAAACTGGTCTAAATGATGAAAATCCTCTATTTCTATCCAATAACCGGTTAATGATGGCTGTTAAAACTATTGACTGAACGAGTCAGTTAATTTACGACTGTTGCGGTAATGAAATCTGAAAAAAGTGTGATTTTTAGTAGGTAGGTACCTACCTAATTTGTTTGTAGAAAAAAGATTATAAAACCTCTTACAAACAATACTTTTACTGCGAACATCATATAATATAAATATATAATAAAACATAATTTATAACGTATAAAAATATAGGATTAAAATTAAAAATATATTATTTTTTACTTCGGACGACTTTCACGGTTTCACTGATGATAAGTGCGTGTGAAAAAAAATGTGAGTAAAATTACTGGAAACAATGTTATTACTTATTTGTCGAGTTATCGTGGACATACTTAATTAGTTGTAATTACCGCATTTATATCAAATTCATTAAGTGCGTTAAGTATGTTCAAGTTGTGATGGAGCGTGTTTTTTTTAAATCTGAATTTTATTACGAATTTTCTTAAAATCGTATCTCATCGCTTACATTACTCAGTATACTTTTTAATATGTATGAATAGAGTATTATATGTATACGTGTTCTATTATGTATGTAATTTTACCACAGGAATGCAATAAAATATGAATAAGATATAATCATTTTGATAACACTATTTACTTTTTACATCAATCCTAAGTATTTACATAAACTATATATTGTATATTATGTAATGTATGTATGCAGCTATTTGGCTGTGGTAGAATAACTTTGAAAGATTACGATAAAACTTTGTAAATTGGAGATATATATTTGTATTTTTACTCGGTCAATACCTACGACTATACATATTATGTATATTGTATGTATATTAATCAATTCAAATTACGAAATCTAATCTACCTCGTGTACATTAAATATTATAAACAGGATATATTAAAATATAGGTAAAGAAATATAGACAAACACTATGCAATACATATAAAATAATAGGAAAAAATTGTAAGTTTAATCTTTTATATAAATAGCTATTGATGTTATTTCTATAATGTTGTCCGGATGATTTAAGTTGAATTATATTGGAATTGGTTGATAAATTTAGATCTCAGATAAGTTATTAAAATATTAAATTTTATATTTTTTACCAAAATCCATCAATTATGTTCTTAAAAATAGAAAAATACCAATTATTGCACTCATAAATAAAAATTAAAAATATACAATGTTGATATTTCGAGTAAATATAGACATTACGAAATGAATTTGTAAATGCTACACAGGACAATCTAAAAAAAAAAAAATATATATATATATAACTATGTAAAATTGTAAGATTATAAATACAATTACCTAAACTTAATTTTACATGTTATAGCTTATATTATTTTATTATATTATAATTTATCACATTATTTTTATGAAATATTTATAAAACTTAATTAACACATAATATTAATACACGAGTTAGATATGTTTATGGCTTATATTTTTAAAAGAAGTTGAATCTTCAATTTAAAAAATATTTTCAAAAAATGTACATAACATATTTTATACCTATATAAGATATCATTGAATGTTAAGTTTTTTTTTTGAGTTGGAATGTATAAATATTAAACCGTAGAGCCAATAACCCCCTACAAGGGGTCTTTCTAAAACCAATAATATACATCTATATATTATTATACACAGATACACGCACAGAATAATATTGACAGGTTGACAAATAGATAATAATGTACGATTAATACATTTTTTAATTTGTTTACTGTAAATGTTTTATAGTTTAATACATATAATAATATATACGAGTACACGACAACGTCGCATAACATTATTGTACATGTTTATATGTATATGGATTCGTTTTATGCGCTTGCCCCTGTTAGCAAGCTTCGTGACCGATATTTGAGCGTTTTTCTATTCAACGTTTGACAATCAGAAGCAAATCAGAAGGAAGTTAAAATGCACATATTGAGTGCGGTAATAATAATAATTAGTTTACATAAGAAATGTTTCAAATCATTGCTTATCGCATATTTTAATCCGAAATTTTGTTTGTGAACTATAATACAATTATTTCCTCCGGGTACGATCATTAATTATATACCTATATATCTTATATTATGCGTGAAAATTATACTCTTATCAAATCTCGATTCACTTGACTGATTAACTAAACATTGAAAAAAAAAAATCTATATTCGTTAATGGTTCAATAGATTTATTTTATTGACTTTATAAAAGTTTCGACGTTTCATGCTACGTAAAATCGTACATAAATTCGGTATAATGTACAAATCGCACTGTTAACTTTGTGTAGATTTTATCTTTATTTTTCGATAATAGACACGAAGAATCGTAACGGCTGTAACGTTTAAAATATAAAAACATAGAACAAGGGTATTTATACCTATTACCAACAGACCTACAACCTACATCAGAATTATAATTTTAATTATCGTAAGTATTATGTAGATAGATAATGAATAATGATTATTATGCTGTATTAAATAATGTAATTAACCACGTAAAATGCAATTTCCTTGGATATTATTCTGATGAATGCAGTTCGATAAAATTGATGATATCGTAAATAGTTCAAATCGTCTATTTTTTTAATAACCCAAAAGTGCATAATTTATTTGCAGTTTTAAACCTTAGTAATTGGATAAAAATACAAGCATACATTTTATTACGTATTACAACATTGTATCTTATACTCTATAGAAGTTTAAATTTAAAATTTTATGCTCATTTTATTTAGTTAGGTTTTATTTAAGCATTAAAACAATCGTATTCCAGTTCAGTTAAAATTTAGTTTTAGGTGTATTGCATCGTATTTTATCGTGAAAAATTGCGATGATAGTTGATGATTATTTAAGATAATTTTATTAAACAATATTCTTTATAAATAGTATAAACTCATAAAAAGTGAAATTTTTGATTGCTATAGCTAAATAATTTTATTGAAAATGTCAGCAAATATTTACCACACCTCTGCGCTGAGTAACTTTCGAACAAGCCAAGGACTCTATTGTCCAGAATGCTACCGTCACTTGAAAAGTTGAAAAATCCATTTTACATTCCAGAGTCCACACCCATCAATTTATAGTTTTATCAAAACATTTAAAGAAAACCAGACATGACTCACAAGTTTATTTAAAACTACAATCAAATGGATAAAAAATGAAATAATTTATTTGCGCCTATGGATTGTTAAAAAGGTAATTTTTTCACACTTATAAGTAAGATGTTTTATCCTTGCACTTTTAGGTTATATTTTGTGCTTATGGACTAAAGCTGACAAGTCATATAGTTAATAAGTATTTGGAATGTACCTAATAATTGAATGATCTCAAACAATTCCATATTATAAATAGTATTTTTGTACTTTGGTATAGCATTTGTAAAATCAGTATTTACAAGTGTTTTGGTTAATTATCTTCGTGCAATCTTATAATTATCAATTGAAATAACAGCAATTAAATAGTTGAATAAGTTCATACTAAAATAATACTCTTTTGTGTTATTCATTGTGTGATTCAAATGTAATTATTATTGTTTAATATTATACACGATTCCATTTCATTTTATATGTCCAAGTAAGATATATTCAATATTTTATAATTCCTGTAAATAATTATTATACACTTATTATAAAACAATTATATGTCATAGTATAATACATAATTCAAATAAATATTCATTATAAAAACTGAGAAGGTGCATAAATTCATTAAAACAATTTTACTTTTATTTAAATGGGTATGGACACTATTACTATAACGGCATAACGCAATATACACATAAAAAAATATGAGAACCTATTTTTTATCAGACGTATGTAAATATAGTAATTAAATTACGTCTATCTTATGTCTCGCTACAACTATAAATTGTTATTGTTATTATTATTATTATTATTTTTTTTTTAAGAATAAAAATTGCTTCACCTTATTATAAGATTATTGTTTATCTATTACATTCTAATGCTGAAACAATTGACTCGGGAATTCATGTGGTAGTGCTGTATAATAATACTGATGCGTGGGGGGGTGTGTAACACTGTACTATACGTAAAACAAATACAAAATAAAACTAAAGTCGTTTCTAAGAGTCTGAACGGCACGCGAGAGAGAAAAAGTGATTAGAATGAAAGAGAGAGACACGCAGAGAAAGAAAAATAGGAGAGGGATGGGAAGAAACTATACAGTGAAATCGGAAGTATATCAAGTCCAGCTCGTTGGTTTAAAGCATTTTAAAACGTCCAGTGCAACCGATTCAGCGTTCAGTGTGTTTTCGTATCCATTACGAGTTACTAAAGTCTGTGGTCAATTTCGTATTAATACGTTATATAGATACATTTTTTTCGAACGTCATATCATACCAAGGTAAGGATTTATTTTTACAATACAATCTACCCATTCACATCAGTATTTATTTTTTATTTTGAAAACAAATAATACAATAAACATTATTATTGTTCTTATAGTTTTAAAACGGGTTTTTCTATTTTTTTTTCCATTTGATTTTTATTAAAATAATATATACCTATATATTACAATAAATGTGTTATAAATAATTTTTTTTAAATCGTTAAAATTTTTTTTATAATTACTGTAACTTTTTAAAGCTCATTTTTTTTCATTTAATTTTACTTGAATGTATGGTTAAACGCACGTCATTTAAATTTGAAGTATAAAATAGTTACTAATAAATGAATTAATTAAAAATTATTTTTATTATCTATTTTAATTTTAAAAGATGATAATTATTATTGTTTTGATATTAATTGTCATGTTTGAATAAGACTAAGTTTTCATTAAAATATAAACATAATAAATAGCCAGTTTAATGTAATAAAGTTTTCACGATTAACAATAGAAATGGCATAAGTTTTGATAGTTCCTATAATAGGTTCTTTGTAAAATAGTATTTTTTTGTGTAATGTGTTTTTACAGATATTTTTTGTTAATTTATTTATTCTTTTCTTTTTACAAACCATTTTAAAATGATATTATATTATCTTTTACCAGATAAATTAAATTATATAATAATTATTATATTATGTAATACTTATCTTATATTTTAAATCAATAAATAATAAAAAAATTAAATTATCTACTGTTAATCACATTAATTGTTTGTTTCCGTTGATTTAAACATGTAAATAATTGTTGGGTACATTTTTGGTTTGAGTTCATTATAATAATTTAAATAATAAAAAAACCCAAGACATTCTTAAAAACAATTTAATGGGTAAGATAATTTTTTCTAATAATTATTTCATATAAAAACATATATTATAGTACTATGGTAGATATGTATTATTATCATCATTTTGTTAGATCTTAATTACAACTTTTGCTACTTTATGGTTACTAATAGAATTACACTTAAAATTTAGATTTTTCAGAAAAATAACTACATTTTTTTTTTTTTTTTTAATTATGTTAACAAAATCAATTTGTTCAATAAAAGTTAACGTTTTGATGTTATCCTTTGAATCTGGTTTGAGTGAAACGTCTATAGGTGATATCGTAAGTTGAGCTGGAAGCAATGAGACTTATAGAAATGATATTCAGTTAAAATTTGTAGTATATTATTAGGTTAACTTCACAGGACTCATAAATAAGGGCTACTTCTCTTTTCATAGTGGAATTCATTAGAAAACTTGGTGTGGTCTATGTTTAGTTTAAATATTATATTTTAACTAATGCATTGTGTTTTAAGAAAAATTATATATAAACATATGTATAGAATTTAAATAATTATAATGAGATAATACAATTTTTTGTTTTAATTTACGGCGTATTAAATTATATTTTAATATGCATTATACAGTGTATTGATCACACCGAATAATAATCGTTTATCGCATGTCCAATTGGAATAACTATAGGTAATATTGTCTATATCGTGTAAAAACTATAAATAAAATATAAAGGTCGTACGTTCACTGTCCCACTATTGGCTATCACTATTTGGATGGATATCATTTAATCTCCTTTTAAGTCGTTTCATTTAACTTTCTGATGTATTTTTTCTAAATAAATTTATTTTCTATGAGGATTTTTTCAGGACCCCATATAACAATAAATCTAGACCAAAACAAATTTAGATTTAAGTCGTTACGGTGATACTGAATTTAATGTAGTGCATCACACTTATATTACTTACAGATGCTGCATACGCATAACTGTTGTAGTGTTGTATTTTAGCTAAGCTAGTTTGCTAATCTATAATGGTCATCAATGACCGTCGTTAAAAAGTCCTGCGTGGTCATCCCACACTGAATTAATGTACTCGGAATTTATAGCTTGCAATTATGATATTTCAGAATGATATTTTGGATTTTTCTCGCAGTTCTTGTTATATGTATATATAAATTTTATATAGGTATGTACGCTCTTATATATATTATATCCACGAAGGGAGCACTTTCACTATATAAACTGTACGAAATTATTCCGGATGTCATCGACACATCGTTATTTTGTGTTTATGTGCCAACGAATACATTTTTGTTGGTTCAATTAGATAATAATAATATACCTATACAACAGACATAATAATTATGCTCGATCCATCCATCATGTGCGGCAGTTTATATATGTCATTATATTATTTTCCTCCCGCGAGAAACGTATCGATTTGTAACGGTAAACACGATAAAAAATCATTTATTCACGTTAGATAGTCATTATAAACTTATTTATCATCGGAGAGATGTCAAATTTCAGTGAACATTTCATGTTTATGACAGTTTCGGATTTACATAACATTTTACTATTTATGGAAAATGAAACTGTAAACGCATATTTACAATAATTCGTACAAATTGTATTTTAAATTTTGTTTTACATTACATTTTTTAAGAAGTATAACAATCGATCGATTTTATTTGAAAAAAAAATAACAATATTTAAGTCAGATAGGAGTTGTTCTATATTTGTTCACTTACTATACTATATGTGCTGTAACATAATACTGGTACGGGAACACGCCAAATTATAGATGATGGTTCTATATACTATTTGTTGTAGCTTTGAAAATTTAAAATCGAAACACGAAACAAATGAGATTTAAACAATTGAAAAATTTTTATCAGCAGTAAATGTAAAAAGGTCTGCATGTAGGTATATGCATGTATTGGTAAAATTAAATGTATAATATTAAATGTTTATAATATATTTTATATTTTAGTATTTTTAAATTTTTAATTAGAAAATTAACTTACTTGTTAAATTTAAAAAAAAATGATTTTTTTACTAGTTAATGTCCACCTTTGTATACATTATATTTTATAACAGTACATGAATCGTACAAATGATGTCGTTTTATCCGTTTAAGCTGAATCCATAACGTTGGTAGGCACTTATTCACGTGACTAACATCTCTTATGCATAATAATTATTAGTAATAAAAGTCGACGACGGCTGCAGCGCTCTGGTGTATAAGGTTTATAGTCGATATATATATGGAACGATTAGAAAAAAAAATCGTCTCGGACCGACGACGATACGTCGGCGTGACAAACTCCGATAGTTAAAAACGCATATTATACAAGAGTATCTGAATACATATAATAATATAATATATTATAATAAGCTTATCCGATCGGGACGTGTCTGTATTACTAACGCGACCGTGACGAATATTATATTATAACGCGTGCGCCATTTACTACATCGCGGCCGTGCACATGGTACATAATAAATAGGGCGCGTACGCGATAGACGTGTTTGACAAAGGTTTGTTTTTGTTTTGCGTTTATTTAGTAGCGCATCTCATCCAAACGCGTTGTCTTCACGTGAGCAATTAAAAAAAAAAAAAAAAAAAAATGCGTTCAATAGTTCCGATTTCGTGTTGTTGAATTTATAACATTAGAATACATTTCTTATTACTTAGCCTGAAGATGATGTGTTTGCACGTTGGTTTTATGTTTAAATTTTGAAACGTGTTATGAGCGTTTTTAAATATTAATTTTATCCATACTCGCTGTTTGCTAAAAAAATTTAAATATCGATAATGTTCTTAGCTTATAGTTTGATAATATAGGTCGATTCCGATTCACCACAATATTTTGCGTTTGGAAAAAAAGATGTCTCGGTCATACATCTATGTGTACAGTGTCCGTTATATGAGTGCGTTGTATACCTAAGCACATAACAAAGTAACGTTCAGTAATTCTAGTTTTTAGTTTCGCTAGTGTTAACAATAGAGTAGGTAGTGTATTTGCTTTTATTAAACTTAAGGCGACAACAATTGTCTATCTTTTCGCCAGTGTTTAGTGGATATATAAATTTAATTCCGAAGCAAGGCAAAAGTGGTGTAAAACTATTACAGTTTATAAAACGCTTACCTAAAACTCGTTTCAAGATTAAAATTTTGAAGAAAAAAAAAACGCCCACGAAAAACCGCGAACAATTTCGTCACCTCCGATAACGGGTAAATTAACATCATAATGTCAAAACTAACGGAGCTGAACGAGAGCTGCTTAACTCAAATTCGCTGTACCTACAATGTTACGCATATACTTTTAAGGACCGAGACAACGCGAGTGGAGACGTCCACTCATACTCGCGACAAAATGAAACGGGTCGCGATATCCCGTCGTGCACTCTGCTCACAGTGGCGCGCTATAATGTTATGTACATTATATGGATTATTTACTTATACCATGGTAGTATTATACACGTGTACGTATCTATAATGTAATGTATTAATGCGGTACGCGTATGTCCGAACGCGAACTTATATCGTCGCTCGGCCGGCGGCGCCACGGCGGTCAGCCGTCCGCGAAACAAACAGACCGTAAATGACTAATATATTATATTATCATAATCGTAAGTCGCACTGTATGCGTATAAACGTTGCGCATTGTTTGCATAATACATTTATAAATATTATTTATGGGTTGCGGGCAAAGCGATAATGATATAATAATAATTAATAATTAAACGCAGTCGTTACACAATTTATTTTTTTCAATCTCTGTCTAAAACGGAAGTCGCTCGCGTGTGTTTTTCGCAGGTCGTCTCATCATCTTCAATACACCATCCTCGTCAGCCATCCACACCGTCGTAGTCATCATCATGTCGGTCATCGTATCGTATCTGCCGGCGTTGTTGCTGTTGTCGGCCGCCGTAGCCGCGCGATCGGGTCATTCCGTTCACGATCCGACCGAATATTACGTAAGTAGTTATTTTATTATCGTGATACACACGCACACGCACACACGAGCTTAAGTATTTTATAATTATTTTTTTGTTTTTTTGTCTCGACGGGGCAACGGCGACGATGGTCGCGCCCCATTGTTTTTGTGTAGGTACCGCCGCTGCCGCCGTTTAAGTATGATCATTGTGATTTTTCTAATTTCGAATAAGCACGCGAACCGTATACGGTTATTACCGAGCGACATATTATTATTATTATTGCGCGCAGAGACCCGACCGAGCGGCGAGCACTTATCTCGTCGTACCACACTCCGGGACGGACGTTTTATTTATGTCGCAGTAAGCGTTTAAATGTATAGACCTTAACGGTCGTAATCATCGTGGTCGTATGATTTACTAACCACGGTCTCACAACCGTGAAATTTCCAGAGTTGGGTCGAGCATTACACGACTGCAGACGACGAGCCCTGAACTCGACTTGAGTGTTTGTAATAAGGTCTTAACTATGTCTTTCGTGTGTCGTATTCGCGTCTGCACGCGCGTTTGTACGGACGCAGCATGAAATCGGCGCGTTTGGACTCAGCTGGCCACTTGTCGGATTTGGGTTTCGTGTCTGTGTAGATTTTTTATTGTTTCGTCATGCGCGCGCGCGCCCCCCGGTCACAACGTCCTTCGCCGGATGGCCAGTACACGCTTGGCGCGTTTCGTAACAGATAAAAAACAAATGCTGCAAGATCAAAATTATATACCTAATTAGCTTATTACACGAAACGTGTGCGGGGCGGTTTTAAAACGTCTAAACGTCTCGGCGGGTCGTATAATATCGTATACGCGTCGCGTACCGACGAACGACGATATCATGACGATTGAAATGATGTTTCTGTAATGCCCGCGCGTAGTCGTTGTTGCACAACGGAAGCGAACGGCTCGCTTGTACACCACATATTATTTTTATCGACAGTAAACGTGCGCGAACGGAAAGGTCTGCTACGAATCTCCTCGCGGTTTATAGGTTAAATACCCATAATATTATGAGTCCGCACCGACGATGGACGCGATTTTCATTCGCAATCGTCGTCAACAATATTCTCGATAGTGATTTTTCGTCGGCATTTCCTATGTAGGCATTGAAATAATTATTATAACGCGCTCCGTCTCGTAGAAATCCGGTCGCGGGGCTCGTTATAAGTCCGCGCAATTTGCGAACGACGATCATCGCCTCCATCATCCGCCAACTTGGCGTTTTTTGTGTTCACAGAGCGAGCCCAACTACCATTTCAACTACGGCGTCAAGGACTTGCACACCGGTGACCTGAAGAGCCAATGGGAGCACCGGGAGGGCGACGTGGTCAAAGGGTCGTACAGCCTGATGGAGCCGGACGGTTCCATACGGACGGTCGACTACACGGCCGACAGCCATAACGGGTTCAACGCGGTGGTGTCCAAGACCGGCCACAGCGTCCACCCGGTCAAACACCGCCAACACGGCGGCGGCGGCAGCAAACAGCAACACGAACTGCGGCAACCGTCGGTGCTGCAGGCTTACAAGCAGCAACCGGCTGTCCCGGCTTACCAGGCGTCCGTGCTGCAGAAGCAGAAGCCGGCGTTCGTGGCGTACAAGCAGGCGCCGCCGTCCAAGTACCCGCCGTCGCTAAGTCTGTACCGCGGTTTCTACGGCAAGTCCTCGCCGACGGCCACCGCGGCCGCCGTCAACTACATGGCGTACCCGAACGGTCTGCTCCAGGATTCCGCCGCGGCCACGGCCGCGCCCAAGTACTACACTGCCGCCGCGGCCGCCGCTCCGCAGTATTACGCCGCGTCGCCGGCCGATTACGACGTCCAAGCCAAAGCCGAAGCCGAAGCCGCGCCCGATTACTATTACATCACGTCGGCCGCGACTCCAGCCGACGTCGAATCGCTGCCGCCGTCGGCCGCGTCGCCGTCGCCGAAACCGGACTCGGCCAAGTCCGGTCCCGTCCTGTTCCCGGCCGACAACGTCACGGCGGCCGCGTCCGACCGGCCTTCGCCGCCGTCGCCCACGCCGATCACTCTGCTCAAATACGAACCCGCGGCGGACAACAACGGCGGAAACGGTGCAGGCCAACCTCTGTACGCCGACTACAACTACTACGCATAGATCCGTCGCGAGTAGTATATAGTGTTATGACGATATTATTATTATTATTATTTGCCTCTCCCGTCTTCCTGCCAAAAGAGATTTTTTATATTTTTTATCTATAGACTTATCGATTAGAGGTATACGCGATTCAACTGCGCAGCGCGTACGGTGCACTCCATTTATTCCCGCCATTTCCGGACCCGATCGCGTGAGGAAGATATTTTATTTTTCCACACTTACACGGGACAACTCTTTTTTCGACGACCCGTCTTATTATACTGTTGTAACGTATAATATTATATCATAACGAGTACACGAAATCGCGTTATGTCCGCTCCAACGGACGAAATTATACGCGCGTCACGATGTATTATTATTATTACCCGCTACACTGCAGTACATATATCGTGAAAGTCCAGTTTTCAGAAAAAAAAAACCGCATGTTTGTATGTATAATATAACATAGTAAAATAACACGTACTCGCTGTAGGTATACTCGTAATATTGTTTGCTTTCTATATATAATATCCGAGTTATGCGTATTCTCCACGTTGCTTCACATTTCTATACGTTTTGACCCGTACGAGTTATTTGATTTTTTTACTGTACGATATATATTATAATTTTTCGAATCAAAAATACCGTCTGCAAACGAACCACAACACTTTATAATAACGCGTTTGTCGGACATAACCCTATACACGCGTGTTATATTGTTATACACCTTAGTGCAACCAAATATTTGTAATTATTATTATTATTATTATGTGTATTTTAGATTTAGGACATTACTATATAGTCTATGTAACGAAGTGCAATATTTGATTTGATCTTTTTCGTGTTTATTTAATGTTAATATTATTATTATTTTTTTTTTTTTTGTATTTATAGTACATGATATAACGTATTTATAATGTAAAACACACGTTTTTTGTGTATAGTAAATAAATATGTATTTTTTTTTAAATAAATATTAATTTTTTTTTGTAAAAAAGAAAAAAATGTACAATTTATTTCACATTTATTTTCTCTTCACCTCAATCGCATACAAGTCAGAACATTATAATATTATAGACGAATCGTTTAAACACCGACACGACGTGTAAAGTAGATATACCAGCTATTATTTATGTACTATGTGGAATAGATATTTTTTTATCGCAAATGATTTCACAACGGGCCTCGTCAACGACTTCCTCTTTTTGACGACTTCATCGGGCCTCCGGGACACGGCGTGTACAGGTGCCGTCGTATAGACACCGCGTATACGTCCGACCGCGGTCAATTAAAAGTAAATACCTATAGTTAGAACAGGTATAATAGGTATGTGTTCGTCATAAATCATTGCGAGTTCACGTGGTGCAAAGTGTAAACATAAACGTATATAATATACAATATAACGACACGTATATTATATTATACGCATACACCGGACACCGATATAATATATTGTGCACCGTGTACACACTTGTCAATTATAATTACTATACGTTCGACGTATTTAAACGGACGCAATTATAATGATAATATAACATAATGTAACACACCGTGCACGCGCGCGTGTACATAATAAAAAATATGTATAATATTGTGTGTGATATATAATACTGCCACGTGGGTAACATAACTCGTGCATGATAATATTATCGTCGTTACGGTTTACAGCGAGTATCCCGTTTAAGTGTTTAATTTTTGAGGAACGTTTGGTCTACCGTCGTCGACGCTGGCGTTTAATTTGAATACACCGCGGAGATTTACTACCTAGCTCTGTATTACCTAAGCATGCTCAATCGGTTCATCGCCATTTTTTTCATTTAATTATTTGTGTATTTGAATTTTGATGTTTTCGAATGTATACTTATGTTTTTAACTATACCTACTTAAAGACCACGTTTTAAAATTCATGAAATTTTTTAAACTATATCAGAATAATATTCTGTGTCGATAGGTATAGACTTATGTTTTCAAATGAGAACACCCCTATATTTACTGTACATTATTTAGTGGATAATATTTTAGAAAATTTCGATACATTTAATTAAACATTTTAACCAGTATAGTTATTTAAAGGTTTTTTATTGATAATTATTACTCTTTGAAATACTTGTTCGAATTTTGAATTTTAATTGTAAAAGTTTTCAGAAAAAATACCGATCACATATTTTATTAAAGGTCGTTACTTGAAAAACAGAAGGTTATTTTCCACAGGATACTTCCTAAACCTGAGTAATACAAAAATCTCAAAAAAAATTGAAAATGTGGTCTTCGAGTATGTTTAAAAATTCCGAAAATAAGACTTTAAATAATTGTCTTATTGAAGAAGAAAGAAAGGGTAAGGAATAAGAATGCTCGGCGAATCACTTTGTAAATTGTGTTACAGGAAATTCACGCGCGCGCGTACGCATGCACTCCATTGATGAAGAATCTGCAGCGCGCGTTTCCGACCGCGAGCACTCTTCCGTTACGCCGCGATCTTTCGCATTCGTCCGGTCTCGAGTAATTTAGATTCACGTTACTTAATAAGTATAAGTATATTTGATAATAATATAATATTATATGCACTTCTATATATTATACGCGCATATCTCATGAATAGATGTTTAATTACACGACGTGACCGTATTTCTATACCCATATCCGCATATATTCATACGTTCGAATACATCCGTGTGAATTTCCCGCTAGCCGATGTCGAGCTTTTGCCTCGTATATGCATATTATATATTATATACCGGACGTGGGAATTACGCGAGGTGCACGAGACTATGTAAATATATGTAGGTAATACATACGAAAGAATCATCATCCACGTAACACTTGTATTGCGTATAAACGCATCGAATTATGCGTGTATATATATATATATATATACGTATTCATTGATCATCATTATGCACTGGGTTATTGACATAGATTATAATATGTCATATAGTACTACTTAGTCTCGCACGCAATATAACGTTGTTGACTGCTTTAGTATTTCGGTAAGTTGGGGTTATGATTATTCCGATCCATCTTAGGTATAAAAAAATACCACGCTTATGTATTTATTTTATTTTTTATAGTTAAAGCCTTTTATGTATTCAATCAACTGTAGAAAGTGTATATTATAACAAGACATGTGTGTGAAATGGCACGTACAAGTCGATTCGCATCAAGCATAATGTTCAACCTCATTTTTTCTTTTGATGGTGAATTTATTTCAAATTATGATTTTTTAAACTGTTCAAGGTAAAGGCCATTTTTAAAATATACTTAAAGTTACTCGCCATTCGAATAGCTCCTCGAGGCGATACATATCAATTTCTTTAAATTCATCACAATCTTTTTTCTGCAATTTTTTTTTTTTTTTTTTTGGATGTTTTGAAAACTAATTCAAAATTCAAACGAGTAGTTTTTGGATGATTATGAAAACATTTATTATACTAAGAATAATAATCCTTTAAAATGGATTTTTACAACTATTAAATAGATAAAATATTAACTCAAAAACTACTCGTTCAAATTTAAATTTGTATATCTACATCAACATTTTAAAAACTATTTAAAAAATAAAAATGATTAAGATAGCTCTTATTTGATTTAAAACATCAGAATTTTAATAAATTTGTTATTAAAGGAAAATTATAATATGTTGAGCATTACTTGCCGAATCACTTGAATACATACAATAGTACCTTAACGGTTAAACATATCACATACTGTAAAGTTATCTGAAAAGAGCTTAACAACATCAAATTTAATACTTCAATATTTTGTTAAATATATGCTTTTGTTTTTTTTTAATATTTGTCATAAACTTTGAAATTAGAAATTCGAGAACAAACCATGCTTAGAGAACTTGTGATTTTATTGTTAATACGCATACGAGAAGCATATTTGAAGTCTGTTTTTCGTAAAACTATTATGACAATAACGTATGTAATACTTAAGTATACTAGTTATGTTATTATATAATATTAAAGTCATCTCTATGACTCTAAATGTACAAATAATAATTATGCATTCTGATCTTATATGTCAAGTACATGGTTCTGTGCCTACATGGTATTAAGTCTATAAAAATGAACAAGTTTTTGTGTAATCATGAATTTTCATCGTTAATCTCACAATGTTTACCGGTTAGTAAATGGTTAAATAGGTAATACTGTAAGTAATAATAGTGTGTAATATGTAAAACAAAAATTCCTTAAATACGTGTACCACGAACCACACATATGATATATGAGTTTATTATGAAAATTTCAATTTACAAACCTTACTGTATAATATGTATTTTTATTTGTTTTATACATAAATAATTTAAAAAATAGTTCGTACAAACAAGTTTTTAATTTGTTTTCGGAAAAGTAAATACATTTTATTTTAAGATACCTTTTAATTTTTATTTAATTTATGTTATTAATATAATTCCTTATTTCCATATTAAATATGTTCCACTGATATTCCGATATTTGTGTTAATATAAAATATAATACGTCCATCATCGGAACAATTTATTTGTCTAAAAATTTTTGGCAATTTCAAAAGCAAAATTACTTTGAAATTGAAATACTCTGCAGTTACACAGATAATGGCATAAATATTTCGAAAAACCCAATTATACGTTTCGCTTTTTTCGGATCGAATAATCAAGGTTCATGCAGATGTAATCGATGAATCAAATAAGTAAGCTCGTGAATTACACGGGCGTCAAGTAAAAAAAAATCATATGATTTAGTATCAGTATCAACAACAATACCAGATGCAATACTAGATGTTATCTAATTATTGTTTTTATTTTTTAATCTATTTTATAGTTACAATCAATTGTTTTCTGATGGTTTATGGTCCTAAATGTTATGGCACGTTTTATCGGGACCCGTTGGTAGCCAATAGCCATTGTAACTGCATGATGAGACCTTACGCAACAATTGTATATCGTGCACGTAGTCACTTTTATAGATCATTAGATCCGTATCGATGATATGGCCTTGGATTACATTTTTTGCTGATTACTGATAAACGTCGAAAACCATAATACAATAAAATAGTATTATAGCTTTGGGTTTCAAAATTACTCTGCTCGGACACGGTGATACGGTGATTGGCGGTTGTATTTGCTTAGTTTTAGATTTGAATTTAATTTAAAAAAATAGACTATATTATAATATATTACATGCGTTGAGCGTAGTACGGAACGTGCAAGATCGACTTGTTTAATACAAATAAAATGAACCGGTAAATAACTATTTGGACCAAATAAGTAATAAATAACTCGTTATGAAACAAGGCACATTCAGTGTATAGAATTAAATGCTGCACAGATAAAATGTTATTATGTTACTACAAAGTTAAAACATACACATTAATATTTCACTCGCTGGCAATCAGTTTTTTGGAATGGTAGATTTTAATTAAAATTATGAAACTCGAGTTGTTGTTTTCACTACACAATTAAGGCAAACATATATATATATATATATATATATATATATACACACCCAGATGTCCAGATTTGATAACATTTCAATAAAACACCAAATAATAGGCTCGTTCAATATACAGACAGATGTATTAAAATGGTTATTGGTGCAGGTTGCGTACGATAGAAATAGAACACTATAGTCTATAACGCAATGTAATGATATAATTACGTATTGTACCCGCTAGAAAAAAAAAATAGATTTTTTTTCTAAATTTTTTTTATTTCTATTTAATCAGATAAAAAGAACACTTATTTTAATGAAGAAATCAAATAAACTCTACGAGATACTATTATTACTGCAATAACTAAGCTACTAAAGACATACAGTATTCAAATCAAAATCACATCTTAATGGAATTTTTGAAACGTAAAAAACGAGTTCTATATACCTATTATATTTACACATTGTAGGCGCGCA